GTTTGTTCCCGCCCGCTTTGCACGGGGCCGTTCCCAGTCTGGGCTCAGGTTATGTGAAGACAAATGTGGGACAGATGCGTCTAATACAGTTTGTCCGTACTCTGTGTCCAGTTGGCATAGTGCTTTTTAAAGCTTTATGACTCAGGTGGGTTGCATTTGACTAGGACAGTGAAAGGATTCCTTCCATTACAGTCTTCTTTGAAAGTCAAATATAAAATGCGCAATGAAGACCACTTTTCTTAAATGAAGAAACATGACTTCCACATGTAAAAAAACTTCCAACGTTACTGCTTTGACTGAACCATCTGAACAGCTGTCCTCTGCTACACAAACCTCCTCCTTGTTTTGGGTAAGAATAGTGTGCGCTTATAGGAGCTGGGACATGCAGCATGGCTTTGTTACAGAGCTAGAAACAGGTGCAGTTCTAGCACTTGCCATTGGGAAAAAACACAGAAGAAGAGAGGAAGGGAACATTAGCACCAGCTAGGCTATTCTGTGCGTTGGTGATAGACACCCATTTTATGTGCTACCATTAGTAGGTGTTTGTGGAGGAGATGGTGACTTGCCAACAATGGCTCAGGCCATGTATTAAACAGCAAGGGCATTTCAGAACCATTGATGGCCTGATTTTGGATAGAGGTTAGCAGGGTGCTGGTTCCCTGGATCCAAAGAGAGGAGCCGTGTGGAAGGTGTTGGTGATGGAGCAGGGCCCCCTCTCCCCACGGTGGGCTCGTGTTTCGGGTGCTGTGCCGTGCCCCTGCTCGGCCCAAGGCTCTGCAGCTTTTAGGTGAAGCCTTTGTGTTTCGGGTGCCGTGCCCCTGCTCGGCCCAAGGCTCTGCAGCTTTTAGGTGAAGCCTTGCAGCCCCAGAGCCGCCCGCAGTGCCCTCCGGCCGGCCGCTGTGCGACAGCGCTGGCACGCCGGGCTGGCCGCTGCTCCTCGGCCGGTCCCGAGAATGGCTGCTGGCTTTGCATTGAAAACCTCCCGCAACTTGCTGGCCCCTGGCACTAGATGGAGCTTCAATCTACTTGCACTTGGAAGTCTGTTAAGTTCAACGACAAGATAAAAATAGAGAAGAATACGTGAAGATATGCGTGCCTGCTGCTACACTTACAGCCCCTCTTTCCGTGTTGTTAGCAGAGCGGTGTAAATCATAATTTAAATTTAATCCAAATTAAAATTAAAACTTTGCCACAGAATCTGCTTGTTCTAGTGCGTGCATTATAATCATTAGCACCCTTTAATGTACTCTCAGGTTCGCAGTGGAAATTGCTGTGAGTATACTGGAACTGTGCTGCAGAATGAAGGTAATGCCTGGCTGGGCTGAATAAAGGTAATACCTTTTCTGAACAAAGTACCTGGTTATATTTCAGGATGTAGTGGGGATGACCACCCTTTCTGTCTGCTGTGCTCATGCAAGAATACATTTGTATTTTCACTTTGTGCTACCAAAGCTAACATTTCAGAATCATCTGTTTTAAGTCACTTCATTTTTCCTCCATGTGTTACCCTTGAAAATATTGAACAAATAGAAACAAACAAAAATGAGCTTTGAAAATGTAGTGTTCGTACTTTTCATTTAGCAAGCACCATGTCTCACAGGCCACACACACCTAGCAGAAATTCAGACCATCTTTTCCTTCCACAGGAGTAACTAAAAGTAGATTTAGTTTTGTCCTTGGGTGCCCATGATCTTATCAGCAAGAGACTGGTTTATTCAAAACTTTTGTGCAAGCACTGAAGTAGACATAAAAGAAACTGAAGTTGGGAACCGAAATGGTGACACTCACAACAGATTTTGTCATTAAAGCACTGAAGTATTGTTTTGTTGCTTCACTACAAAATCTGACTTTGAATTTCAGTCTTCTTCAGAATCTTTGTGCCAACCAGCAGGAGGATAGGGACAGGTGGGGTGCCCAGAAGGCCTCAGGAGGGCAGGGAACATTTGTGGGGTGCCTGGTATGTCCTGCAGAGATTGCATAGAAATTGTCATTGTGTTCTCCTAAAGAAAGCTTTGCTTGTTTTTTTTTTAATAAATCTGTTATTTGCCTCAAGGATGCCTGTTATTCTTGGTCTGGGACATTAGAGGAAGGCCTTTTGAAATATCACACCTAAACTTTAAAGAGCTATTCTGTCATTTGCCATTGCACTACATCTGTCACTCTGTAGCCTTCCAGAGAAGTGGAGCTTCAATACTTAATTATTTACAAACTGTTCAACCATTTTGGTTCATTTTGATTTCTCTTCAGTGAACAAATGAGGATATGAGCCAAAATCTTTCATCCCTATCACAGCTGAATATTAGTAGGTAAGCAGACAGTCATTTTGTCACGTTGTTCCCCTCTGGCAGGGACAAAACCACCCCTTGAATACGAGAGACTGAAGCAGGACATGGGCACTGGACTGCCCTGCAGCAACAGGACAGATGTGCTTCCCAGGGTGTTCAGAAGATCTTTTTATGGATCTCTGAAGACTGTAGTCGCAGAAACATGGGCACTTGGGAGTTGAGGCAGCTGGCAAACAGGAATGCTGAGCTCCAAGTCCCTGGAGTGACCGGACCCTTCTGAAGGCTGTTGTGAGGAAGAGGACATTTGCCAGAGCAGGAATTGGACTCAAGTGAGTCTGGTCCTGCAGCCTCTGATGGCTGTGTTCTTTGTTTTCCCAGGTCATAAACACCTGTGTTTGAGCTAGTTCCAGAACGAATGGCATGAGAATACCTGCCAGGAGCACGGAAATCCTGTGCTGCAGTAACTTCCAAGCCAGCGTTTTGCCACAGGAGCTGCATGTGAGGCCGTGGCGTTGCTGTTAGACCCAGGTGATGAGTGGGGGACCACAGCAGGTCTGCTCCAGTGCCCAGGGCTGTGCTCCCTCGGGCAGAGACTGCTGCTGGGCCTGGGGAGCTCTCCTGGGAAGAGGCTGGAGCCAGCGGTGTGGCTCTGTGCGCTGCTGGCTCCTGTTCCTGGCCCGAGCAGTGCCCGTGGCTTGGTGACCAGGGCAGGAATTGAGGAGGCACCGTGCAGAGCCCAGGGGGGGGACAGGGCTCTGTGTGTGCCGAGTCCTGCGGCCACTGTCCTTTCCCTCCTCTTGGAGGGGCTCTGTCCTGGTGCAGCCCCCTGGTGAGTACCTGGACAGAGCCGTGGCAGCAGCAGCAGCAGCTGCCCAGTGCTGTGGCAGTGCCCTTGGAGTGCAGCAGCTCCTCAGAACGACAGGGACAGCCACGCTTCCGTCAATAGCAAACCAAGTGACCTAATTCAGCTCTCATGGGCAGCCCTCAGCTGCTCCATGGCTGCTGCACTGGAGCTGACTCATCACTTCCAGAGTGGCAGAGGTTGGAGCTTTCAGGCCCTAAGGATTTTGCTGGTTTGTTATTAATTTTAAATTGATTAAAATGAATTTTTAAAATACCAGGAGACACTTGCCTAAAGAAATGGTTATTAAAAAAAAGAAGGAAATAGTTGGTCTGTGGGAGTTAACTGTGTGCTTAACAGCTGCTGGCTCCTGCAGCTGAGGACACCCGTTGCAGCTTGGAGGAGTCTTGTGTCAGCTGTTCTGTCCTGGCAGATTAGCAAGAACAGAAATAATCCATCATTATTATAAAAAACTGAGAACTAGAAACTGTCCTTGCTTATACCCAGCACAACCCCCTGGTGTCCTTGTCCATGGCAGAGTGCTATTACAATCTCACCTACACAGCTTTGCCCAGAACTCGAGATCTCCTGGGGATGTGCATCCCTGCAGGAGCATCCCATTCCCTGCAGCTCCTCACACGGTGCCAGGCTCTGTGGGGAGGCTGTGGGCTGTCTGTACCAGAACAGGCTCTGTGTGCCCTGCTCGAGCTCCCGCAGAGGGTGCCATGGCCAGGCTGGGCAGGACAGATGGGTGGAGGATCCTTTTACCACTGTCAGAGGGCAGCTCTAAATGAGCTTCTCCCCTGGGATGTTCTCAGCGCTGTGCCCGCCTCTGCCGTGCCACCTGCCTTACCCTGCGGAGCAGGGACATTGTTCTCTCCAAAGATTTCCATCTGCTGCAGTGTCACTGCACAAGTCAGGCTTATGCAGAGAGATGAAGCTTTTCCCTTCTGCCTCTCCCTGCTCCCTCAGGTGAGACAGTGGGTGCAGCCCACCTGCCAGCCAGCAGCCCAGGGCTGCCCACTGCCACTAAGGATCCTTGTGTGCCATGGTGGGCTCCAGAGATGCAGGAACCCCCTTCTTGGAGGCTACAGAAACAAGGTCAAAGCTCAAACTCCATAGGGATTTCTCCCTGAGAGTTCCTCCTGAGGCCACCACCCCTCAGCATTCTTGCCACTGCTCTGGAGGGGCTGCATGGTCAGGATGCCACGCAAGGTCTGGCCCTGGTGTATTGGTAGGGATGGTGCTCTGTTCCAATGAAAGTCAGGGTGAGCTCAGGCAGCATAAACAGATTAATTGATGCAGTTTTTTGGCCAGTAAATAAACACCAACAAATGAAAAATAAAAATAATGTGGATGGGTAGGTGGAAGGTTCCATGGTACTTCAGAGAAGACAGGGCAGGAAGGTGAGAGGTGTGAAGGAGCAGAATATGGAATCCACCTGAAGGTAGTGAAGCAGCAGACATTGTCTGTCAGCCTCTTTTATGTCTGTCTTAAAAAAGAGAGCTGTTCTTTCAGTGGAACCAAAGAATGAAAATTAAAAAGCAAAACAATATAGAACAATAGAAGTCTTCTGCAAAAACAATTTGACACTTCCTATTGATTGAAGTAATGGAGCAGCAAGTTTTACCAACTGGTATAAAAGCACCTTTGGCGTGCTTTAAAAATCCTTGTAAAAGATACAGTGATGTCACTCCTGCGCTGTTCACCTGTCTGTTCTCACCTGCAGATGTCAAAAGCTGAAGGGGTCTAACTCGATGTGCTGAGCTGAGCCTGTTTGTCCTGCCTGTGCCCTGCACCCACAGCCGTGCGTGCCCGCGGTGCTGCTGCGGCTCGTGGAACACCCACTCGTGTCGCATGGATGGCTGCAGGAGCCGTCTCTCTCCTGCATCCTCGGAGACCAGGTAGGATGGGCTCCTCCTCGGGGCTGATGTCCCACCTCGGCAGCAGAGCTTGTCCTGGGTGGTTCTCGCTTGCTGAGCTGTGCTTCCTTTGGCTTCACCTCGGGACTGGTGACCAAAGAGCAGTTTGTGCTGTGTGCCATGTGGACAGATGCTCTATCACAGAGTGTGGAGGCTTTAACAGGTTTCAATTTCTTTCCAACCAAGCTACTTTCCAAATTAGTAAATTATATGAACAAATTCCTTTTTGTGCTCAGACAGGATCAGATTTAGTGTTTAACACAAATTAGAAAATTATGAAGTCGAGTAGGAAGAACACTGGATTACAAAATGTTCTTGCTTCATTCATTTTGCCAGTTATAATATTAGTTTTAATTATTTATGGCGCTCCAAAATGTACTAGTTAATTTACTGTGGCATATTTTGGTACAGTATTAAAATTAGTGACAGGAGAGTTATTGCAACACTTGCTGTTTACCCTTTGCTGAGTAATGTACACATTGATTATGCATATATTAGAATGCCTTTAAAGTATGTGTAGCTTCAGCTGGAAGGTTAAGGTGTTTTAGACATGTTTGTTCTTTATATAGTTAAAAATAGTGTCCTCTAAGACCTTATCCTAAAGTAGTACATGAAATCAGTGCCTATTCATGGAAGGAAGGTTCTGGCAATGTGAAAATTCTTTCAGTCTTTGTAGGGCCAGGTCTCGTCAAGCCGACATTAAAGAGCACTTCATTGTTTTAGGGGCAATGTTCTTATATAACGTTATTTTATTCCTATTTCTTTTTAGATTAAAGGGTCCAATAAGCCTGCCTTCTCAGTCTGTACAAGCTGCTGCAGAATCTGCTTAAGCACTGCTGCTGTTTATGAGAATACAGGTGTAGGGGGTGGAAAAGTGCAGTCCTTGGGCACATGAAACATAACTTTGAGAAAACAAAATGCTGTCAGGTTCACAAGGAAAACAGACTTGAAAATAAAGCAAATATGTTTTCACACTTGTTTAAGTTTTATCACTCAGCTGTGCTATTTCTAGTAGTTGTAGACATAACATTTTGCAGAAACAAATTTGACAAATCTATTCAGCTGGCAGTACTAAGTTTCCCTGTACTGATACCACATCTTGCCAACAATCCTATCCTGTGGTGGGAATTGTGTTTGGTTACCTACAAGACAACTGGCTGCCTTCATTATGCATTTCCATTTTTTTTAGCCAGAGATAAGACATGCCCAACTAGACCAGAAATTAAAACAACCCAACATGTACTTTCTTGTTTGGTGAAAACGCGGCTCATGTTCTTAGAGCAAAGCAATTATATTCTCTGTATTTTCACAGGTTCTGCTATTTAGTGGTAATAGCTGCTGAGCATCAAAAAACCCACAACAACCAAACCAAACCAAACCAAACCAAACCAAGGATACTCTGCCTAGCAAGTGTCCTGCCATACTTCCTATTTTACTACTTTTAGCCCCAGATACTGCTCCTGAAACAAGAGCGATTCACCCCTTCAACTCTACCCACAGCCAGACTGAGGGTTGAGTTTTCCTGCTCAGCCATAATGTGCCTCCTTTCTGTCCCTCTGCCCTTGGAATCAAGCCCCTTACCCCAAAAGCCCAGTGCCCATCGTGGGCATGCTGCTTCCCCAAGGAGGCTTGAGAGAGACACAATATGCATTTCCTTAAGTTTCCACGGAATCCATGTGCAGGGTAACATTTGGCCCATGGTATGGTATGACACCAACTTGCAAATAATACTGCTTCTAAGCATAAAGGCTTGGGGAAATCAAAAGTTTTCCTGTTAAGGAGAAATCTGCAACACTGATTTGAGCAAACCCTTCACCATAAACTTAGGCAGGACTTGGTCAATCCAATTGGGAAGGGCAGAGTCCTGCAGTGGCTGTTGTTTGCTATATTTCTTAAAGAATTGTGTGTGTGTGTATATTGCAGAATGGCAGAAAAATCACTGAAGGAATTGCTCTTTTTTTTTCCTTTTAATTTGCTCGTAACGAAATTGAAAGTAAGGAAATCTCACCAGGAGGAACACCCACATGCAGGTACCACATGCCCGCATGCACCTACATTCAATTGATGCAAATAAGCTGAATTTAAAATGTTCTAGAGAACAAAGTAGGGCCAGCTGGAGGATTTCCTGCTGGAGAAAGGAAAAGCCTGCGGAGGCAGTGGGTCGGAATGCTGAGCAGTGACACATTCCTGATGGCTGTAAATAGTGTATGGGAGGAGGGGAATGGGAATATCTTGATTTGGTTATTTGGATTAGTGAACTCTTCCAGTTAACGATTTTTTTCATTTAGCATTCAAAATGCTTGTGGGGTTTATATTTCTTTACGTCTATTAAAAAATTTACATATACATGTACATGTGCATATACTTATACATATACATGTACATGTACATATACATATATTTGGGATGAGTTTCAGTAGTTATTCATTACAAGAGGCTCCAGAAGTGTCTCTTGAGCACAACAAAGCCCCAGAACACACAGAAAAGGGTGTCAGGGTGGCTCTGAGCCAGGTGCTGATGGCTGTGCAGGGTGTCGTGTTCCACCTGAGCACACGGCTGCTGCTGCCATTCTCCTTTGACTGCGGCTGGCCCCGTTCTCCCACGCGGCACTGGAGGCAGGGGATGAGCGAGCAGAGGCACAGGGAGCCAGAGCCATGGCATCTGCCCCCTGTGGCTCCCGTGCTCTGGCACCACTGGCTTTCCTGCAGTGCTGACAATGGCAGGTGGCATTTGCTCCGTGAAACACCATGTGGATTTGACTGTTTCACAGACTTTTAAAGTTTCTAGTATTTCATTTACCAGGGACTAATAAAAAAAGCTTGTTGGAGTCAAGTAAAAACACATTCAATTCAGTACTTCACTTGCAGTCTAAATCTCACCATACCTCTAATTTTAACTGTAGGCTGAATCATTTTCATCCTACTGCTTTAAAATCAGGGTTGTTCTGCTATGTTGGGAAGTACAATGCTTTTTTTCTCTCTTAGATCTGTCCTGCCAAGCTTCTATCGCTCGATGCTCTTGAATGTAAAAATAACATACAGCCAAGGATGATTTGCACAGTTAGTTTTATTACTATAAGCAAAGTTGAAATGTAAAGGATGCCAGCATACATTATGCAGATTGATTTATAAAAAAATATTAAATGCAAAGTATTTGTCCCAGTGAAATATTTAACCTTGTTCTGACATAATTCCTCAGGGCAGAATCTGCATTGGGTGTGCAGTACAATCGTTCCTCAATACTTCTCTCTGGGTTTTGTTCCTCTTTGGCTTTGGCCAAACCTTCTGCTGAAGCTGCAGTGGCTAATGTTTGTCTAATTAAAGCACTGTCTTATTCCCTGTTCTTAAAACTACCTGATTTGTTTTACACAAGTCCAAATACTTCCATTTGAGAGAGACTCTTGGCATGACAAATACAGGTGGAATAGTTGTAGCCTGGCAGTGCTATAAACCATGGAGACAGCAGTGAGGTGATGCCCTGAAGCAGGCAGGGCTATTCCAAACACCCTTGTACCTGTGGGGAGAGAGAGCAGAAATACAAGGGGAACACCATGGGATGTGTGTGATTGTAGCTCATCAGAAACATTGCTTCCCTGGGTCCCTGGCTTAGGATGAGCATGGCAAGACTAGAAAAACACTGAAAGTGGCACGAATCCAAGATTGAGCAAACTTGGTCTGTTTATGTACAAGATCTGGGTTGATCTAATTTTGCATTTAGAGTTTGGCTTCTTCACATGAATTTGAATTGTAAAGCAGTGACTGGTACTTATTTATTTTTACTTTGAGTTAATTTGAATCTGCATCTTGGCAACAATGTGTGTCTTTGGACAGCACAGAAGACACTGTAGTGCTCCCTTCTGTAACAGGAGCGTATAGAAATGCTCTGCTGATGTAGAGCTGTTTCACCTCTCAGTCTGGAGAAAGTCTCAGTGCTGCCGTTGCCCCTGGCAGAGGAGCCCTCCTGCCCTGCCGTGGGGCCAGGCTGCCAGAGAGAGCGCGCTGGCAGCAGGGAGCGGAGCCCGGCTCTCTGCTGGGCAGCGGCAATGTTCCTCCCAGGCTGGCCCATGTTCCACTTGCAAGTGCGACGTGTGGACTGTGGCCCACAGCATCTTTCCTGGTGAAGCTTTGCTTCACTATCAAAAAGGCAGAACAGATTTCTGCTCACTTCCAAGTGTGAGTCAGTTTGCACAACCCCAAACCTCCAGTTTGCCAGGCTAGTTCTGGAGAGCCTCAGCAATAGTCCCTGCTTATGGAGACGGGCCAGCAGCTGTCAGCCCTGTGAGTGGGAACTACTGGGATTTTGCATAAGAAAACACAACTTTGTTTTAGTTGGCTTTATCTATCTATTTTCTACCTTTGAGTAGTTTCAACCCCAGTTTACCAGTCTGCTAGGGCAAAGGAAAGCACCTTTCAGTCAGGTGTTTCCCTGATCAGCCTGACATCAGCAGGACCAGCAGCAGAGATCTGTGGTGATTATTTGTGCTTCCAGAGGCCGTGGGATCTCCCCAGAGATCAGCCCTGTGGGATGGAGCACTGGACAAACAAAGCAGTCTAAATCTCTCTCAGTGGGCAACAGGAGGTGCATGGGTGGTTTGTTCACTGACTGAATGCAAGGCTGTGCTGATCAGACTTGTCCTGCAGCAGCTGCATCATCTGGTTGTGCCTTTCTGTCATCAACAAGCAGGTGTTGGCCACAGAAACAGGCTGTGCTTCATTGCCAGCTCCCTAAAAGCTGCCACCTGAAAAGCTAGTTGTGTATTTGTAGGCATACACTTATCTGTTGTTGAAAAAACCACGTGTGCAACTGTATCCCCACCCAGCTAGGCAGACACGAGTGTCTGCTGCCCTAGTGGCTGCTGCTCTGTTGCATCCCATATTGCCCATGGAGCATTTCCAGCTCTTGCACACGGACGGTGGTGGAGCATAGAGCAGCACTGACTAATGGCACTTGTCAGGTGCTTCTGAAGGACAAGATGGGGCTCAGTGTTTGGAATACACTTCAAAGGATATCTTCACCTGAATTCCTCCATGGCTTCAGCACAACAGTAGAAACACCTTAGTAGAAGCATCTCTTCCTATATTGAAAATAAATTTATTAAGAAAAAGATAGACTACAATGAAGTAACACTTAAAAATATCAAAAAGAAAACAAAGATGGATTCAGTGAATAGTCTGTGTCAGAGCAGGGCTTCAAATAGGAGTTCCCTTTGTGCACCACTTCAGTCTGGATGAGGTAGACAGTTTATCCAAATTGAGTTAATCAGGTAACTGATTTGTCAGATTTGTCCAATAACAGGGACAACTGTGTGACCGATAAAGGGGTGAGATGAGAAGAGGTGTGGCTGTTCAGGGGCAGAGGGGAGAGTGAGTCACTGACATGTGCTCCGTGGTAAGTGGAGAGCAAACGCAAGTGATTATTGGCATTCAAAAGCAGCTAATCTGGTCGCTTGGACAGTGCCAGTTTGCATCCTTGTCTTCTGAAGTGGTTCATTCTCCTATCTGTAAAATGGTTGTGACAGTCCCTGCTCAGCAGCCTTGCTATGCCATGTGTTAGCAGTCATGGCTAATGTCACTGTTTGAAGTGACTTGTGGCTGTTGCTTTCCTTGGAATTGCAGTATTTCTGCTCAGCAAAGGTACAGCTAACCTAGAATAAAGGAGTGAAATCAGCAAGTGTGAGATTATGTGGTGCACAGGAAGAGGAGGCAGCTCATTCCAATAAAGCATGCAGTGGCATGTTGAGGTGGAGCTGCGAATCCAGGCTGGAGGATGCAATCTAGGATCTGCCTGGGCTTTGAAACTGGATGTGGCAATCGGACGGCACTCGTGTTCTCAGCTGTTGTGGCTGGCAGTATTTTGAAAAACAGCTTTGACACACACATGCATAACTGATGACAACGGCCTTGTGAATGTAGATACAAAACAACCAGCCCCGACCCCAGAACGCGGCAGGTGGTGACTGGTTTCTCCTTCGGGGAAACTCCCACTTATTGCAGCCTCTTCAGGGAGGCTGAGCCCGGTGTTCCAGGCAGAGCCGTCTTACAGACTCATAGAATTGTTTAGGTTGGAAAATATCTCTAGGATTAAATAGGCGGTTTCCAGGTGTGATTTGTGGTGTGTTCTGATTCTGAAGTATGGATGTGGGGGTAAGATGTGCAAATTGGAGCCTTCTGTCCAAAGCAATGAAATCCTGCTGTGGTGCAGCAGCAGAGCTGATGGCTTCCCGAAGTCACTCTTGGCTGCGGACAGCAGCCGAAGCACTGTGGGGGAGCCGGACAGAGCTGAGAGGGCGCGGGCCGTGGGTGCCTGCTGTCGGCGGGGAGGGAGCGGGCTGGCGGTGCCGCAGCCCCCATGCTCTGCCAGCAGAGCCAGGGAAGGCCTGGCCGCAGCTGCCCTGAGCACGGCCCGACCTGCCGGGCCCGCCTGGCCGCGGCCGCGGCGTGCCCGGGGCAGAGGGGCCTGCGGGCGGCCCCGGGCGTGCCCCTGAGTGCCCGCTGTCCGGCACGGCCGAGATGGCCTCAGTGCAGCTCTGGTGCCTGGCAGCCCGGCTGCCGCCCCGCGGGGCCCCGCGCTCCGGGGCGGCCTGGCGGGGCCGTGGCAGCGCCGAGCTCCGGGCCGCTGCGGCGAGCGGGGATCTCTCCTGCACGGCTGGGCTGCGTCCTGCGCTGTTACCGGGCGGAGCTGCGGTGAAACATCGCTCTGCACATCGCACATACTGCGACAGGGGCTGTCTTTAACTGTGGGAGTGTTCTGCTGTACACCAGCTCCAGACCAAACAGGGCTCAGCCTCCTCCTCCGCTCATGCAGGGATGTTGGGAGGATGAATCTCATCAGGTGTTGCAGCATCCAGACACCTCACAGGCGTTCGATTGCAGTAGTATCTGCCTCGTTCAATGCCCAGAGGGATAAAATAACTAAGGAGATGCTACTCTTTTTTTTTAACACTATCTCTCTTTTATTACATGGGTTAGAGTCTTTGTTCCAAACGCAGTCCAAGCTGCCTTTGAAATCAGCAGCGTAACTGCATCCTCATGCACTGCATCATTTCCTTTCTTTTTCATAGAGTCTCGCTGCGTTTCTCCCTTCCCAAAGCGAGAGCCCGCGGGCGTTGGCGGCGCCGCGGTCTGACAGGGGAGCGGGAGCGGAGCCGTGCCGGGATTAAGTCACTCTCGCAAGGTCACGCGGTGAATCGCTGCCGCTGCCAAGAATAGCGCCCCGAGTCTCTTGGCTCTCTCGAGCCCACCCGCAGCACTCCAGCCTCCTTTCCTCGGTGAGCATGATCTGATTCATAATGCAGCAGCTCTGCTGTGAGGCTGGCTACCTCTGGGATCCTGCTGCGGCTACATGGAGGAAAACAGCCAGGCGCAGGCAGCAACAGAGATTTGCACATGCCTGTAGCAAAAAGTCTAAACCTCAGAAATGGTATTTAGCAGCTTATCTTATCTACAGATAAGCTCATAAAATGTACTGACTGGTTAAAAATAGGTTTTAAAATTCTTGGCAAACATCTCGGGCTTTTTATTCTTTGTTTTTTGCTGCAGTACAAAAATACTATTTCAATTATTCTTATTAGCTTTTTCTGGTCTTTTTGGAAAAGGACCAAATTATTGATGTGTGTTTTTAGCTTTTAATTATGCCTCAAGTGCTAAACTTATTCCTGCTATTTGTTTGCAATATGTTTAGGCTATGTTTAGGCAAATGCAAATGTAAGTGGTTATTCAGTGCCTTTGGCACTGTGAACAGAATGTACTGAACTCCTGGGGCTTGGTACAAAGCCTCGGCCTCCAGCACTAACAAAGCCTGTGCCGGCAGCAGCTAAAATAGGAGAACTACCTAGGCTTGACAGAGGGGGTTCAGAAGAGCTGGGAAGACCATGAATCATGCGCCTAGCTTTTGTTCTATGGACTGGGTAAACGAAATAAGGGCATTTTTGCCTGTGTCCTGTTAGCTGAGGGTGAGCCTGCACTGCTGGGGCCTGTGGAGCCTTTGCAATGTGCAGCTCAGCAGCAAGGTTCCTCGGGGTGTGCTGACAGTCAGCATCCCCTGGAGCATCGTGGAGGCTTTCCCTGGCCAGCTGGAAGCGAGCGAGCCTCGGTGCCGCTGCCTGCTGCGTGGGCACTGCCAGCAGCTCAGGATTTCTACACTTGTTTGCCTGTTACCCAATCTATTTCAAGCTGTGACGGAATAAGGATGGCATTTGATTGCAGTACAGTGCACAACTGCTTGGCTTTTGTAACCCGTGTTTTAAATGGGAGGTTTTTCTATGTGTGCTTTTGTCTTCAAATAACTTCAGGCTCATAGGTTTAGGCTTGGTGCTCTCTGCTGGCCTTTGCTGTGGCCTGATGAGACAGCTCATGACTCTCACTCCAGAGGGTGCTGGGTTACTGAAGGGAGAAGCCCTCAAAGGAAGAGGGCAGTGATAACTGTGGGGCATATAGAATAGGGCCTCCATCCTGGCCTAGGTCTCATGATGGAAATAAGGATGTCTTTGTAACTCTTTTTTTTGGCTGGGCTTTATTTATGCGTGTCTGTGTCTACAGTGTGTCTGTGTCTCCTGATCTTATGATCCAGAGGTGGCATGCTCTGTAAAGACTTCAGTATCTGGTGCTACAGGATAAGTCTCTCCTGACGTGGCATTGGTCAGCTGCTAATGCTGAGTCTAACACTGTTTTTTTGTGTTCACGTGCCTCTAACAGCAGAATGAGTGGCCTCCATCTAGCACACAACATCCACCTAAAACTGGTGTTCTGTTGTACCCCAAGTCTGAGACTTCTGCAAGCAGCCTGTCGTGCAAACTTGGCCCCACAGTTTTCAGTGGATTAGGTACATTGGTGGTTATAGTGCAGCTTAGTCTCATGTCACTTGTTCCAGTGCTGTGGGGAGTGAGGCAGCAGGCTTGCTGCTTCCTGCAAGTGAGCGCAGACAGGAGATGGATGTTTGCCATCCGGAAGGAAAGCCAGGACTGGCATAGCAGGTAGGCAGTCAGTCATGAGAAAAGGTTAAAAAAAAGCACTTGGTGGAGAGGGGGATGAAAGTACAAAGGGGCAGAGAGGCAGTGATCAGTCATAGATGTCTTTTGTCTCCTTACATCATAACCTGAGAAACTCTGGAAAGCAAATGACCAAAGCTGCTGCTTTGGGCTGTCTTTGGGCAAAAAGGAAAGCCATGGGCATCCCTGCTTTATTCGGAGTGCCTTTCAAGGCCTATGTTGATAACTGATATCCATAAAACAAACATGCATTGGTTGTCATTTGAAATTAGATTTCTGCCCATATATTCTTTTGCTTTCCTGTTTTGATGGCAAATTTTTTTATAAAAACTTTTGATTTTATATTTCCAAGCTGCACATACAAATACCAGATTTGGGGCAACTATGTACCTCATTCATGCACACAAATATCTGATACCTGTGACACCCCAAGACTGGAGCCCTCTCCCAGCCTTGAGAGCCAGAGCCCAGGGGCTGCTGAGCCATTGTGCAGGCTGGTGCTGCATGTGTGTCAGACAATCACCTTCTGCACAAAGCGAAATTTTAGCTGATGGAACCTCCACCTGTGTATAAGGTAGGTCAGAGTGAAATCTGGAATGGCTGGTATGTTAGAGTGAACTACAGTTTGTGCTGTTGGGGCCCCAGGGATAGCTCATTACTGCAACTGCTATTTCCCCAGAAAAACTTCTCTTGAAATAAAGAGGCAAATTGTAGCAATTTGGCCCAATGGAAGTACATGATGCCCCAAAATCTAACTGTGCAGTCACTAAAGAGAAGGCTGCTTGAGTCAGCTCTCAGTGAGAAGTATACAAAGAATTTGATCCTTAGAAAATATAGCTAATTCATTGTTTAATTTCAGAGTACAGCTCCTCTACTACAGATGCTATCTGAGGGACAGCTCAGAACCATTGAAGCCAAGGCTAGCATCCTATCTTATCCTGGTTTTACTAAATCAGATTTAGGGCCAAAAAGACCCAATGGGTCTTATTCTTATATGTACTTTATTGCTGTGTCCTTTCTGTTGATTTCAGGGTTATGAAGCTTTCTGCAGCAAGATTTGAAGCAGCCAAATTCCAGCTTAGATCAAAGTCCCTAGGATTCACTTGTGATTTCCGGTAAGGCTTCTTTATGGTATTCCTGATTCACATTTTGAAGTCATAAGGTTTTATCTTGTACGAAATGCCATAGGAATGTTCTCTTGACCTTTCAAAAACTTGTTACACTTCAGTGTCTTTTGCTTGTGATTTCCAAAACAACCTGTGTTCCGTAAAAGCAATTCTTCACAAAGCTTTGGATGTGTTTTCCAGCACTTCCTGAGGGTGTCCTTGATCCAAACTCTGCTTTGGTGTGAGTGCATGAGAAACTGAGAGACTGATTGCTTTCTGCAGCTCACCTTCATTTTTCCTCTTGTGTTGAGGGCCATAAAGCAGAAAACTAATTGAAAAATGGGAGCTGAAGCTAGTGCTGCATATGTTCTTGTGAGAGCTGGTTTCCCTTCTTACTCCTTGCCTCTTTACTCAGTTGTTATGTATTTGTATTGAAAATGGAGGGTTTTTATCTGGCTGAGGCAGGTTGGCTGGTGGCCACCGGTGGCCCAAGGGCTCCTGGCCCTGGGCAGGCCACTCGTCCTGTGGCACTTGCAGCAGCCGGCTCTGGGTGACCAGCTTGCTTTACTGAGAAGGCTGAAACATGCATGGGCTGTGACACCATAAACTGAGCAGCTGATTGCTTTGGAGCCTGCAAAGCACAACAGAGGGTTGAGTTTTGTTGCATTTTGAGCCTGTAGAAGGCAAAAGTAACACTCTGGCATTCTTTATTTGTGTGGTCCCAGGATGGAGTACGGCAAGAGCGTGGTGGGAGCAGACAATGCTTGTGCTGATAGCAGAGGTTGAAGTGTTTCCTGTCATGGAAAAGATTAACAAGCCAGTTCCACATCACCTTTCTTTTCTGAGACTTGTGAGTACTGTCAGTGTCGCTGCTATTTTAATGCATGAGCTGCTGCCCTGAGTGGGATTGACACCATTGCTGTGCGTGGTCACCTGCCCAGAAATGGATGAAGGGAGAAGAGTGCATGAGCCTCCCAGTGCTCCCTCCTCCTGTCTCCTGCCCTTCACAGTTTGCTGTGCTGGGAACTGCTGGAGATAGAGCAGGGGCAGCAGAGACCAAGGTGGCAGCGGAAGAGAGCTGCCAAAGACAGAGGAAATGCACGAGCCGCAGGTAGAGAAGGCCAGGATGCCATCCTCTATTTTGGCCATGGTCAGCCTGTGCCGAGGAAAGAGAAGGCCTCCAGAGGTGTTCCCTGCTATGCCTGGCCACAGTAATGCATAGCTTGAGCGAGGAAAAAGCCATCCTTTCCTCGTGACGGGTGGAAGAACCTGTCCAGTCCCGAAGATATGTCCATCCCAGGTGTGTCCCTGCAGTCAGTGCTGCAGGAGTCAAACTCCTGCTCTGGCCAGCTCAAAGGAATGGTTTCAAAAGGCCAACAACAAGCTCACCTGGTGCAGCTCTGGGCTTTTGGAAGCTCATGTTCCCAATCAGACAGGATGTTAAAGCCTTATTCTACAGGCAGATGATGCAGTACCAGTAAGTGAAGTGTCTGAAGGGATAAATTGTCAGCTAAATTCTACTGCTGGAGGCTTGCACACATGGAAGACAGCAGGTCTATTTGCTGGGAAAACCAATAGGTGCAGGACCATCCCTCTGACCAGGAAGCACTGAACATTAAACAGAAGACCATGCAGATTCTTTTTGAGTTTTTATTTTCTTGCTACAGTAGCAGGCAAAGAGGAGTAGATTTTTCTGGAGAATACACCAGAACTCTAGTGCATTTGTCATTGCTATGAGCAATTAGTATCAGGGTTGACTGAACAGCAGCTTGGAGAACAAGATATTGATTGATCCTAAGACCTTTTTTCCACAGGTGTTCTGAAGGGGGCAGCTGGGACACAAATCTGCTTTGGTGCATCTGAGACACTCGGGTCTCTTTTATTGTCAAAGAGGCAAGATGGCCTAATTAAGCGAGCTGTAGTCATTGTCAACACCCATGATACATCTCCTGAGCCAACAAATACCCCTTGCAGTGGATGTCAGTGGGTACAGAACTGGACTGCCAAGAATCTTCTTAGAATTTCATTTCCTTTTGCATCCTTGGGAGCAGGATCTTCTCACAGCCACCTTTAGCCAGCACGAATGGCTCTTCTATAGAGTGGTGGATCCTTAACAGGCATGGTTGGTCTGTTTCCACTTGGTTTCACCTGTGCTATCCAGCTTGCTCAGCAGTGATACAGCTTTCTACAGCTTGGTACCTTCAAAGTCTTTTCAAGTATGAGGCAGGTACTTCAGGAAGAGAAGCAGTGATTCAGTGCTAAAGCTGCCCATTCTTTATACTCAAGCTTGTTCCTGTGTGTGTTTAGACACTCATGCACATCTCTCCAGCATCTTACATCCCTCTCCTCTTTAGTGTTTTATCCCCCTTCTGCTCTTTGGCGCTCCTTGTCTCTTGCCAGCTCTCTGCTGCAGCGGGGAGTGCTGTGGATCAGCCTCACTGGCATCTGCAGGAGCGCTGTGTGTGTAGTGCTGGGTGCTTCAGGAGAGCCTCTCCTCCTCCCACAGCCCCACCACACATCCGTGTTCTTGCTGTGCCTCCTGCAGCACAGGCCACGCTTTGGCCTTCCCATCCCTGCCTGGGCTCCCTCTGCAGCAGCTGCTGGGGAGTGGTCTGTTTGCTGCCTGGCTGCATCCACGGTCCCGATTCTGTTTTCTCTGTCGTTCATTGATGGGTGAATACCTTGTGCAAGCTCCATGCCCACCTGTCTGGAAATCGTTCTCTGTCTCTGGTTGTGAGTGAGATCTGCGTGTTTGGTTCATCTTCCACTTCCTGGCTCTGATTCTCCTCCTATTCCTGAGCAGTGTGGCTCTGCTGCACGCATGAAAATTGTGCAGGGGCCAGGCTGGAGTGAGCCAGGAACATTCATCCCCCAGCACCTTACACTCCCCACAGGTTCTTGAAAGAGCCAGTGAAAGTGGCTGGTGTCCTGAGTGTGCAAATGCAGGAGTGTGACAGATGAGCCAGTTGCCCATTTTTTGGTGAGGTGAGTAAAGCAGGTGTATGCAGACAGGCAGGGTTCTACTGAGGAACCCTCCTTTGTGCATGAGGCTGCTCCAGTTTGTCCCCAGTGCCACGTTACTGCTTGTGAGCCTCTGCCCTAGGCCTGTGGTGAGAGATGAGCAGCTGGCAGCAAGGTAGCAAGAATGTGCTACCTAAACATAGGTTGCTAATGGCTGTGTTCCAGTCTCCAGATGTGTGGCTGCTCTGGGATGCCGGGAACTCCCTCTGTGCTGTGGCAGACAATTCCATTATTAGCTTAGTGGCAGCTTTCCATATGCCAACACTCGTGACTGCAGCACTGTTTAATTTTCACTGCTCCAAAGTATTTAATTTGTCAGTTGTTAGCTTCTGCTTTGTAAAGATCAAATGCCAAAGTCCTTACCTAGATTTTTACCCACGTAGGGGTGGGACATGGATTCTGTATGAATTCATGGATTCATACAGATCAGAGGCAGCATGAGGTCTTGAGTTCAGAAATTCAGTCACTTCTAGGCTAATCTGTAGAAACTCCTTGTCTTCATGGATGGGTGTCTAATCTCCCTTCTTCTGTTAATTTCTATTTGGAGAAATGAAAAATCAGTACTGCTAAAACCACTGGCCACTCACATTTTGAAGCTGGACTGTGCAGATGAGGCGTGTGGTTGTGAGTGCCTGGCTGAAGGTTTTGGCCCCTCTCTGGTGTGGGGAGCTGCTGCTGCTGTGAGCAGATGATCCTGCAGTTCACTGCTGGGGGCCTGTCTTCAATTATTGAGTGCCAGAATAGATGTATATTGAGTTACCTTGCTGGCAAATATAATCTCCAGCATCTTGTGTAACTGCAATATTCTCAGTTTTCGTACCTACATAACATAGTCTTCTTCAAAGAATCTAAAACAAGACAAAATATGGTTTCATATATTGCTTGTCTAGCAGTACATGTTTCCAGAGAACAACAGGTTGCACACTGGCTTTGAGGATAGCTTTCCCTGGCAGCATGGATTGCTTTTATATACAGTCAAGCCTGCACTTGGATGTGCAGCAGAATGAAGCAGGATGTGCATGGTGCACTTTTAAACCAACCAACTGAACCAAAAAACCAACCTCCGAAAAATTCAGAAAAAAGAGAGAGCAGTCTAAGCCAGCACAGCTTTATGAGAAGAAAGTCCTGCTTATCAAACCTGATTTCCTTTTATTACAAAGTAACCCACCTAGCTGATCAAGGAGAGTCACTTGATGTAATCTTTTGAGATTTCAGTAAAGCTTCTAATACTGTCTCTCATAACATCGTTCTGTACAAACTGTCCATCTCACTGCTGGATAAACATGTCGTGGGATGGGTGAGCAGCTGGCTCACGGTCAGGTGCAGAGGGTGGCATGAGACTGGCACCAGTCCCTTAGTGGAGTTTTGCAGGGCTCCACCCTTGGCCCTGTGCTCTTCAACATCTTCATAAATTACTTGGGTGCAGGACTGGAAGGATACTAAACAAGTCTGCAGACGATAAAAACTGAGAGGAGTTGTTGACTCCCTCAAAGGCAGGGAGGCCTCAAAGGCAGAAAGACGTCACCAAATTATAGGGCTGGGCAATCACCACACTTGTGAAGTTCAGCAAGGGCCAGTGCCAGATTCTGCGCCTGGAATGGGGCGCCCCTGGATCTGCGGCTGGCTGGGCAATGAGGTGCTGAGAGCAGCGCCTGGAAAGGGCCCTGGGGTCCTTGCTGACAGAGGGCTGGAGATGAGTCAGCAGTGCCCTGGCAGCCGGGAGGGCCGGGCTGTCTGGGGGCACAGCTGGGCAAGGCAGGGATTGCCCTGCTCCGCTCCGTGTCTGGGGGCACAGCTGGGCAAGGCAGGGATTGCCCTGCTCTGCTCCGAGCCGGGAGGGCCAGGCTGTCTGGGGCACAGCTGGGCAAGGCAGGGATTGCCCTGCTCTGCTCCGAGCTGGGGGCACAGCTGGGCAAGGCAGGGATTGCCGTGCTCTGCTCCGTGTCTGGGGCACAGCTGGGCAAGGCAGGGATTGCCCTGCTCTGCTC